ATTTTAGAATGATAAAATTTAGAATTTTCTTCCTTATTACTGCAGAATAAGGTACTATTTAAATGTTATTCTTATTAGCATAGAAGTATAATGAAAAAAATTCCCTATACAGAGCAACTCATTTGTCAAAATGGGTTAATTCAAGAAATTAATTGACATAAATTTAGTTTTCTGAATATATGAAAGTTGGGTACCACTTAGAGCAGTATGTTTGATGCACATCAATAATGGGTCTCATTGCTGACTTTTATTTTTTTGTTTTGAACTAGAAAGAAATAGTATATACTCTATAGGATTTAATCGGTCTTTGCAGGTTCTCTTGAGAAATAAACACTTCTTCAATTTGAGTCCCCATCATCAGTCTACAGAAACATGGTGCACACTTGTTGTATGTACTCACTGCTATTTGGATCTAGAGACTGAATTTTATAGTTCCTCTATTTTATTTTTCATTTTTCCTGGTTCCATTTCTTTACAGGTATGATTTCATCTCAACAATTTTTTTAAAAATAACAATTCTAGAATCTTTTAAAAAACACCTCTCTGTTTTTATGCACATAAATAATAACTGAGCTTCTCTAAGGTTTGGAATCATCCTTTCCCCACCCCCCAAAAAAAAATAAAACTGAGATATAAAGAGATCCTTTACTTAGTGTAAGGTTAGAAAAGAATGGAATTGTGGTTTTGTTTCTTGTGTGGGCTTTGACTGTAACACTAGATATGTCTTCCCCTACCCCCTACTTTGCTTCTCTCTCCCTCTCACTTCCATCTACAAAGCAGTTAAACGATTACTGAGAAAAGAGCACTACATCAGTGTAAATTAGTAGTATCAAACAAGATGGACCAATATTACAGTTCAAGTATGTAGTTGACATTTTGGATCCAAGTGGTTAATGGAATCACAGAAAATCAGCTCCTATGAAGCATTCCATGCATGGACTCTCCATTTCTCTCTACCTTTAAAATGAACATAAACTCTTCATTGTTCCTACGATTATGATGATGTTACTAAAAACATTAGTTCAAAATTATCAATGGTTTTGAGTACCTATTGTTACATATACTCACTGCAATTCTGTCTCGATTCCTAGAGAGCAAGAGAAAAGATGCTTTCTCATTTCCCTTCAAAATTCTGTTGAGGGACTTGTAATCAACATGTGACCAATGGTTACAATAATGAAATCTCAATTTTGTGAAGCTCTTTTCAGTTTGCAAAGCCTTTTCTCCTCACTAGTCTTATGGATTATGTAACATTGCTATTATTATATCCACTTTACAGAAGAGGAAAGTGAGGTTTACAAAGATGAAGTGGCTTGTCCAAGGTCACATAGTACTGCTGTGTCCATCTTTAAGGGATATTCAGAGAGTTGAGGAGAGATTTAGTTACAGGAAAATCCCAGATGGTGCATAGATTCCCTTCATATAATGTTATTTTTTATATTCATTTTTGATATTCAGGTCCAAATTCTCTCCCTTCCTTTGAAGGCATGCAGTGTGATACACATTATATGTATGAAGTCATGCAAAACATATTTCCATATTAGCCATGTTGCAGAAAAAAAGTGAAAAAATGTGCACTTCAGTCTGCACCCAGAGTTTGTCAGTTCTCTCTCTGGAGTAGATCATTGTATTGATCAGAGTAGCTATGTCTTTGATTATCACTACAATATTGCTGTTATTGTATACAATGTTCTCATGTTTCTGCTCACTTCACCTTGCATCAGTTCACATAAGGCTTCCCAGGTCTTTCTGAAACCATCCACTTCATTATTTCTTACAGCACAAAAATATATTCCATAACAATCATATACCACAGTTTGTTCAGCCATTCCTTAATTGATGGGCATCCCCTCAGTTTCCATTTCTTTGCCATCACAAAAAGAATGGCTGTAAATATTTTTGTACATGTGGATCCTTTTCTTCTTTCCTTGATCTCTTTGGAATACAACCCTAGTAGCTGTATCCCTGCATCGAAGAGTATGCACAACTATATAGCCCTTTGAGTATATAGTTGCAAATTCTATTCCAGAATGGTTGGACTAATTCACAGCTCCACTGTTTTGTGTCCCTGTTTTTCCGCATCCCTTCTAGTATTTGTTACTTTCCTTTTCTGTCATGTTAGCCAATCTGAAAGGTATAAAGTGGTACCTCAGAATTGTTTTAATTTGCATTGATCTTAAATATTAGTGATTTAGAACATTTTTATATGACTATTGATAGCATTTATTTTTTCTTTTTAAAAAATGTCCTGGTTATATTCTTTGACCATTTATCGATTGGGAAATGGCTTTATTTTTATAAATTTGATTCAGTTTCCTATATATTTGAAAAATGATGAGAAAATTGCTATAAAAAATCCCTCCCTCCACTTTTGCTTTCCTTCTAATTTTGGCTGCATTGGTTTTGTTACAGCAAAACTTTTCCATTTCATGTCGTCAAAATGAGCCATTTTATTGCCCATGATCTTCTCTATCTCTTGTTTGGACACATATTCTTTCTTCCCTTATCCACAGATCTGACAGGTAATTTTTTCTATGCTTCCCCAATTTGTTTATGATATCACCCAATATGTCTAAATGATGTACCCATTTAGACCTTATTTTGGTATATGATGTGAGATGTTGGTCTACACCTAATTTCTGCCAGACTACTTACAAATTTTTCTGGCAAATTTTGTCAGATGGTGAGTTCTTGCTCCCAAAGCTTAGATCTTTGGTTTTATTAAGCATTAGATCACTATGAACATTTGCTGCTATATATTGGGTACCTAATCTGTTCCATTGATTCACTACTGTATTTCTTTGTCAGTACCGGATTGTTTCAATGATGATTGCTTTGTAATATAGTTTGAAACCTGATACTGCTAAGCTGCTTTCCTTCACTTTTTTTTTATTGATTCTTGATATTATTGAACTTTTGTTCTTCCAGATGAATTTTTTTTATCATTTTTATAGCTCTATAAAATAATTCTTTTGTAGTCTGATTGGTATGGTACTGAATAAGGAAATTAATTTTGGTAGAATTGTCATTTTTGTTATATTGTCTCAGCAATTAATATTTTCCTTTTTGATATTGGTAATTTGATTTCTTCTTTTTAAAATAAAATTAATGTTTTATGTATTTTATTTTTTCTCATAAAACTTCCTCCTAGGCTAATTTATTAGTTCAATTTTTAATGTTCAATTTTATTAACCTCTTCTTTGATTTTCACAATTTCAATTTTGTTATTTAATTGAGGATTTTTAATTTGTTCTTTTTGCCTTTTTTTAGTTTCATACCCAATTTATTGCTCTGCTATTTCTCTCTTTAATTGATGCAAGTGTTTAGAGATTTAAATTTTTCTTTAGTACCACTTTGGCTACATCCCACAAATTTTGGTATGTTGTCTCATTATTATCATTATCTTTAATGAAATATTGATTGCTTCTATGATTTGTTCTTTGACCCACTCATTTTTTAGGATATAATTATTTGGATTCCAATTAACTTTTTATCTATACTTACAAGGTCCTTTATTCAATGTAATTTTAATTGTATTATGGTCCAAAAGGGGTTGTTAAAAGAAATATTTCTGTTACAATGCATTTGTTTGTGAGGTTTTCATGCCCTAATACATGATCAGTTTTTGTGGAGGTGCCACATACAGCTGAGAAAATGGTATATTCCTTTCTATTCCAATTCATTTTTCTCAAAAGTCTATCTTATCTAACTTTTATAAAATTCTATTCGCCTCCTTAACTTCTTTCTTATTTATTTCATGGTTAGATTATATGATATGTGGGCTTGAGAGAGGAAAGTTGAGGTGCTCCACTAGTATATCTATATATTATTTATTCATTTATTCTCTCTTATAATTCATTTAGCTTCTCCTTTAAGAATTTGTATGTTTGAGATTAATATTACTTCATTGTCTATGGTACCTTTTAGCAAAATGTAATTTCCCTGATTATCTCTTTTAATTAAGTCTATTTTTGCCTTGTCTGAGATCGTGATTGGTACCCCTGCCTTTTTTACCTCAGTTGAAGCATAATAGATTCTACTCCAGCCTCTTATTTTAACTCTGTACATGTCTTTCTGTTTCCACTGTGTCTCTTATTAATACCATATGTTGGATTCCAGTTTCTAATCCATTCTGCTATCTCCTTCCATTTTATGAGTGAATTCATCCATTTATATTCAAAGTTACGATTGCTAACTGTGTATTTTCCTCTATCATTTCTCCTTTTTCTTCTCCTCCTTCTCTCTTCTTTCTCTTCCTTTTCCCTCCTCTTTCTCCTCCTCTTCCTCTTTCTCTTCCTCCTCCTCCTCTCTGTGTCTCGGTCTCTGTCTGTCTCTTTGTCTCTGTCTCTCTGTCTCTGTTTCTCTCTCCCTGTCTCTCCTCTAACGTCTGTTTTGCTTCCTGTCACTATCTCCCTTAATGTTCCCTTTCTCTTATCATCCACCACCCCTGCCTTTCGCTTATCACCTTCTACTTCCCTGTTGGGTAAAATGGATTTCTATTATCAAACTGAATGTGTGTGCGTGCATGCATGCATGCATGCATGCATGTATGTATGTATGTATGTATATACATACGTATATGTATATATTCTTCCCTTTTTGAAACAATAATATTTAAGAGTGAGTTTCAAGTGTTGCCTACTCCTCTCCCCATTTTACCCTGCATTGTAAAACCTCTTCGTTCTGTGCCTCTTTTATGTAAGAAAATTTTTCCTTCTTCCTCTCCCTTTCCCCTTCTAGTGCATCCTTCCATTTTTCTTTTGAGATTATCCCAACATAATCAACCCACTCCTATATCCTTTGTCTAAGTATACTCTTAATTGCCCTAATGATGATAATTTTCTTGTAGGCTATATCTAACATCTTCCTATATAGGAATGTAAACAGTTTAACCTTTTTAAGTTTGTCATGGCATCTCACTTATGTTTACCTTTCTATACCTTTCCTGAGTCTTGTGATTGAATGTCAGATTTTCTATTCAGCTCTGCTCTTTTCATCAGGAATACTTGGAAGTCCTTTATTTCGTTAAATGTGAATTTCCCCCTGCGGGATTATAACCAGTTTTGCTGGGTACATCATTATTGGTTTTATCGTAGCTCCTTTGCCATCCAGAATATCATGTTTCAAGCACCCTGCTCCTTTATTATGGTAACTGCTAAATATTGTGTGATCCTGACTGTGGCTCCACAGTATTTGAACTGTTGTTATTGTTGTTATTTTTTTGGCTGCTTACAGTATTTTCTTCTTGATCTGGGAGCTCTGAAATTTGGCTATAATATTCCTGTGAGTTTTCATTTTGAAATCTCTTTCAGTAGATAATCTAATCAGTGGATTCTTTCAATTTTTATTTTACATTCGGGTTCTAAGGTATTTGGGCAGTTTCTCTTTATAATTTCTTGAAATACAATGTGTAGGGTTTTTTTTTGATCATGCCTTTCATGTAGAGTGATAATTCTTAAATTATCTATCCTAGATCTATTTTCTGGATTGGTTGTTTTTCAGATGAGAGAGTTCACATTTTCTTCCATTTTTTCATTCTTTTGATTTTTTTTTTCTTGGTGTCTCATAGAATCATTATCTTCCCCTTCAACAATTCTAATTTTTAAGGAATTATTTTCCTCAGTAAGTTTTTGTACCTCTTCTTTCACTTAGCCAATTCTGATTTTTAAAGTAGTTATTTTCTTCAGCATTTTTGTACCTCTTTTTTACTAAGCTGTTAATTCTCTCTTTTCGTAATTCTTTTTCATTGCTTTTATTTCTTTTCCCAGTTTTTCCTCTCCTTCTCTTATTTGATTTTTAAAATCATTTTATGGCTCCTTCAAAACAATCTTTCTGTGTACATATATAACCTATACAAAATTCCTTACCATCTCAGGGAAGGATGAGGGAAGGAGGGAGAGAATTTGGAACTCAAAATTTTTTTAAAAGAATGTTAAAATTATTTTTATATGTAATTGGAAAAATAATAAGATATCATTAAAAACAAAAAAAAATCTTTCTTTAGCTCTTTGAGGAATTCTCACTGAGTTTATGTCCAATCTGTATTTTTCTTTGAGGCTTTGCTTGTAGATGTTTTCATGTCATTATCTTCTTCTGAACTTGTGTCTTAAGCTTCCCTGTCACCATGGTAACTTTTTATGGTCAGGTTCTTGTAATGTTGTTTGATCATTTTCAATCCTAATTCTTATGTTAGATTTAGGCTCTGCTCACCTTTGGATGGGGAGGAGGGTTCTCATCATCCCAAGCTTCAGTCTTTTTCATGCCGCTGTTTTCACATCTAGTGAAAGATTTTAAGTTGTTAGTACTTCTAAGGTGATGTGATCTGGGAGAAACATGGTCAGTGTTTTCCTGGTCTTGTTTCTCATCCTTACCTAAGTACAGCATCTACTTCTTCATGACAACTTCTCTCCTCCCTGGAACTGCAACCCAGAACTAGGGCCCCTGCTCTCTTGCAAGCAAAAGTGCTCCTTTCCACCCTGTAACTGCTATTGGGAATTGGGCAATAGAGTTGCCAAATACCACCATTCCTGTACCCAGTGCTAGCACAGGGATCTCCTAGAATCTCTTTCTGATCAGGTTTCCGATCCCCTTACTGTCTCTGGGGTAGGTGTTGCCAGCATTCTGCAGTCCAGGCTAGCTCCCACCCCAGTGCCATCAACCTTTCCTTCTGACCTACTAAGTTGTTCTGGGATGGAAAAATATCTCTCCTTCACCTTTTGTGGGTTATGATGCTTTAGAATTTGCTTTGATATGTTAAATTAAAATTGTGTATGGGAGAATATTGGGAAAGTTTGGCTAGAATGCTCCCTGTACTCTGCCATCTTGGCTCCATCCATGTAACTTTTTAGAGGGAAATTAGAGAAGCCACAACATAGGCAGGGAAGAGACAAATTATTTTGATGTATTAACCTGGAAAGGGAATCCTTTTGAAGGCTCACAATAATTGACACTGATCCCTCATTTGAATAATAGGATAGAAATATCATTTAAGGAGAAACAGTGAGGCAGGTGAGAGATTACTTTGCACTTTTGTCAGAGGGTATAACATGGCCCTCAGAATCATGGTAGACCCAGTGGCAGCAACTCTTTCAAAGATTCATTTGAACTTCCTCAAAAGTTTTTGTCCTTAATTCTGTTATCCTCTAACACTCTCCTTTGGAAACTTCAAAAAGTTAAAGCATTTAATGAAATAACCATATTTAGCTAAAATGGGTTTGGGTCTTGTGGGGACTTCTCATACCTTCTGCTATCTACATTCTGGACAAATGGGCATCTATTTTATTCTTACAGAGCTACTGGAAAAGAATAAGATGGCCTACTATTTCTCTTGGTAACTTGTTTCTACTAAATCTGTCTTTAAATTCTTCTGTATATGCAAGCTAAGGAATTGAAACCTGCTTCTGACTTCTCTGTTTCTAGTAGAGATCACTATAACTAAAAAGGTTTTTTTTCTTATTATGAATGTCAGCCTTTTAACTTTTCTGTGATTCATAAAGCTTACTGTAGAGTTCCTTGGAGTTTCTAATTATTCCCCATCACTAGTAGGATTTAGGGGGTACTGATAGAGGGTACTGAAGCTCAAAGTAGACCAAATGGTCACCTATTTTCAGAAAAAAATGCTGTTTTGCATTTCAAACCAAAAGCTGAATATAAACTTATTGTTGTTTTTAAAGCTAGGCACCTAGCAGCAGCAAAATATTGTAGTCCTTTTGGCTGATCTTTAAAATAGCTGATGGTGGGAGGGGGAAATGTGAAGATGCCAAGATAGTGCCTATATCTAACGTGATTACTAAACTCCACTCTAGCTGGGATAGAATATGGACTACATGTATATGTCTCTTACAAATTTACTTATTTGTTAGAAATACTAAATTTGTCTTCTTTCTGTTGGAATAATGTTTAAAATACAAAAAGTTGACCATTTAGACCAGAAAGAAAATTATACACAATAATTCTAGAAAATAATCTCTATATCTCTACCCCATTTTAAAAGTGTTGAAAAATTGTTTCCTAGGTGGCAACTCCTTCCTTTTATTTATACTCGCCAGATGTTCAAGTTATATAACAGTCATTCAAGATGTTGCATGTAACTGGGATTCTTTTTACTTCCTCAAAATACCTTACAGAGGGGAATAAGGTTATTGGCTTTTTCTTCTTTACTATCACTTTTGACAAGAGGCTTCTGTGAATTATTCAAGGCCAATAAATTTACTCTGGGCAATTCTGTCAAAATAGGCACCTCTTTAGTGATTATTGGCTGACAATTCATCTCAAGATAAGAGATTGTAGTATACATTTATATCTTTCATGAGCATAAAATGCTAAATCACAGCTCTGCACTGAAGAAATGAAGGTACAACAAATTGATGGGTTTTTTTAAAAGTAATTTCGGTTAGATATGCACTGAATTAAGTAGTTAAGGGTAAAGGTACCTGGCTTGGGGACATGGTTCTGAAGTCCAAAGGAAGTCAGGAACAAAGCTGGGAGGAGAATGGAAGCAGGGAAGCTGCCAGTGTTCGAAAAAATGGACACATCAGGTGGAACTCCCCAATGAGAAAAGGGGAATGGGCCCCGCACAAGGTTATGACGTGGTGAGTAGACCTCAGGGGAAGCAGGCTATTCCAAAGTGAGGAGGACCCAGGAACTGAAAGAAGTTCCAGAGTGAGCCAGCAATAGAGGGGGCATGATTCTGAGATCAAGAGGATGTCAGAAATAGAACTGGGAGGATAATGCTCATGGAGTCAGGTACTCTACAGTTTCTCAAAATAGAGAGGTTTCCTGCTCTTGCTGCTTGGGTTTAAATAAGATGTCCATTTTCACACTTGCCGGAATTCTTTTTATGAAGCTGATTGATTTCCTTTTGTAAGAATAAGTGGTTGCCTGTGTTTCATTTCCACTTAATCAAAGAGAGCTTCATGGAAGAAGTGGATTTAAACTAGGTTTTGAAGAAGAGGATTGATGGCTTATCACGTTTCTTGGAAGACTACTTCTAATGTGAAAAGAAGCTTTGAAATTGGGTCAGCAGGACTTATTGACAAGATAACTGTTTCAACAGTAGGCAGACTTCTCAGCTTCCACATACCTGCCCCACCTGAAGTTCATACCAGATCAAATAATGATCTAGAAATCCAGAGAGAAACTACGTTAAATTCTTAAATTATGTTGGATTCTTCCAACTCAGAATTGCACGTAAATTCAGGTAGAAGTACATGGGTAATAGGGAAGGGGGCACTTCCAGCATGGACAGTGGCAGCATGATCAGAGAAATCTCCAGAGGAAGCTTGGAAGCCCTGAGTAGCAGCCGAGACCGTGGCAAGTGTGGAGCCTACTTGGACCTGAAAAGCCCAACCCAGGGGCCATCATATTTATAACAATCTGTCTTGAGATACCAGAGAGGATCCTGAGACATTATATCAAGTAACACATATAATTTTCAAAATACTGGCTTCAAAATAATTGAAGACTCCAAAAAGAAATTAGAGCAACAATTACTCTTAGTAGACATGGGTAGAAGAAAAGGGACTTTGAAAGACTTAAGAACTCTGATCAGTATAATGACCAACCATATCAAAGTTACGATGACATATATTACCCACCTCCTGACAGGTGATGGATATTAGGTACAGCAACATCCATTTTTGGACTTGAAAAATGTGTAGATGGATTTTTCTCTCCTTCTTGAATCAAGATTCGAATATAAAATCCTCTAGTTGAACTTCATAGCCCCTACTGGCTCCTCTGTACTTTTTCAGTCTTCTTACACGTTATTTTTTTCTATGTACTATACTATCCAATGACACTGGCCTTGCCACTCTTCCTCAAACAAGATACTCCATCTCCTGACTCCATGAATTTTTACTAACTCTTGCCCATACTTGGAATTGTCTCCCTGGACTTCCCTGGATTCCTGGAAATCTCAGCCAAAATCTCACCTTCTACAAGAAGACTTTCCTATCTTCCTTAATGATGGTGCCTTTCCTCTGCTAATAATCTGTATTTTATTCTGTCTGTATCTTGTTTGTACACAGTTGTTTGTATCTTTTCTCCCTTATTCGATTGTGAACTCCTTGGACACAGGAACTGATTATACCTTTCTTTGTATCCTTAGCACTTAACATAGGGCCTGGCACATATTAGGTGTTTAATAA